CCCCAAAACCCCAAAACCCCAAAACCCCTTAAACTTTTGGAGCATTGATGGATCAATGTATTTTGCAAATATCTCATAAAAATGGGATAAATACAGTTAAGACTGGGACTGCACCTTTAGAGCTTTGTTTGGGTTATTAAGGAAAACATGAACCTCTCCTCTTGATTAAGTTCTTTCTTCATTTCAGCACTCCAGTGCTATTTTCATCAGTTGTGATGTTATTGTTACTGCGAATGTTTTCTAGACCAGTCTTCTTTGCACTATCATATTCAAATATTTTCTCCCTGTATTTCTTGTAGCCTTGGAAGACGCAGGTGTTAATCATCTTCTTTTTGAGATTTTGTCTAGGCACTAAAATTAGAAGAGTTCCATACATGGAGATGAGAGTTCGTTAAGCACTCTGCTCGGTCTGTACTGTGTTAAATATCCTGCTTCCAAATTCCTGAAAGGTTAATACAGGAAAATTTACCTCTCTCAATCGTTATAAGTCGGGTTTAAGTCTCCTTGTTTAGGCTGAATATACGTGCTAGAGTTCACTTCTGAATATTAGAGTAGACACATACTAGTATTAGGCTTTTCATTTGGGAGGAGGCATACAAATTCATCAATCTCAGGAGTTGCACATTCTCCAGTTACCAAAGTGGAGTATTGGTAGTCCTTGATCATGATATTCCCAGGTGTCCTATAGTTTACTTCTTCCTGATTATTTTAAAGAGGTTTGCAGGACTTCTGTTGTACAGTTAATATCTGTAGGAAAGTCGAACACTTTCTTGGAATCTTTACGAGAGTCTGTTAGTCCATAGCTCCTTAAAGCTGTAGAGAGTGAACTATTTTTAATAGTCTTTAATAAGTTTGGCTTATAGGAGTAATTATCTTCATCTCTAGTGAATAACATCGAAGTCTTTAAATTCTCGGTGGTAATAGTTTGCAAAGGATTTTTAAACTCTAATGTCTTGTTTGGAAGGTCATTGATCGTCTCATCTCAAAACGGAATAGTAGAAAAAGACTCCCTTGGGTTATTTAAAGCTGTGCTGCCTTTATTATAATTTCTGAGCAAACTCTTTTTCTTTTTTCCTAAATTTATCCACAAATGACACACCTCTAATCTCAATTGGCTTAAAAATATCTCTAAATGGGGCATTATTAATTTTCCTGTTCATTTTCTCCAAAATGAGTTTATCCTTAGTTTTCCTTTTAGTCTTCACAATTGGAGTGAGAATATCGGAGTACTAAATCTAGCAGTTAAACACGAAAGACTAATAAAAAATTTACACTCATAGTTCTGCCAGTGTTCATTTTATCGTTAATTCAATTTTTAACAGAACTTAGGGGTTTTGGGGTTTTGGGGTTTTGGGGTTTTGGGG